TTCAGGAAGTTCTGACGAAGATCCAACGACGACAATGACGGGAATGGACACGGCAGGTCATAAGGGACGGATTGAAGGAAGTTGTAGGAGAGGTCCAACACCTAAATTTTCATGGGAAACGTCATTCAACCTGGGTGAGAATCACTTTTTAGAATGAACTCAATCTGAACATCCACGTTACAGTATCTATTACACAGAAAGTAATTGATCGCCCTTGTTGTGTTTGAACATGAAACAGGAAGAAAACTAATGAGGGAGAAGGAAACGTCTGTTCAGAAAGAAAAACACAAACACTGGATAGCGAGGGACTCAAAGGGATCGCATTACTTGCTCACGATCGATGGCCTGGATACTTCTTTCCCAAAATCTCTCATTTGCAACCGAAAAGTAGCTTGAAATCCTGCCGCAAGCCTGAGGTGGTACCGATCGTTGAGAAGTTCGTAAGAACATTCCTAATGTATAGAGGTGGGGAGCGTCTTTTGGCACTTCCTCATTGATGGTCCCCTAATCTTCAATTGGCAACCGTCCTGTGAAGTATAAACCTGATAGTAAATTAAGAACAAGTATGAATTACCATATCGATGCGCGTATGCCCTCCCGTGGGTATGGTATCTTGTACCCGAACGACGTGCTCAGCTCGCCGCCCCAGATCGCGCTATGAAAGGGGATATTTGTGTTTCCAGAGTTTTCAATGGAAGGAAGAGGTGATGATTGCGAAACCCCTGCCGCTTATCGTGGGAATTCGGGTACGTACACCTTCAACCCCTTCCGTCAAATGATCCAAGCGTTATTGTAAAACAATGGTGGAACACCAACTGACTGTAAGACAACTGACCAGACCAGGACAAGCACGGGCATGACAACTGCCTAGGAACTGTCGTGCACCGTTATCAAATTGGGTATTGCTCACCACACCGGCTGATCAGCCATGGAAAAGCCACGGTGGTTGCCATCCACTTGACCGACACGACGCTCATAATTTAGGCTTTTATGGGTGTCCCTATTAGCCGCCTCGTTCGCCACATGGCTGCATATGGGCACTTTTCTGCAGAGATCATCTAACTGGCTTAATAACAGCTTGTCCTCACTTTGAAATAGAACCAAAACCACAAAAATGTTGGAGGTCCCAAGTCACCATGCAGGTGAAGGCACCTAAGAATATGGTAAGTTTGCAGCCCCCTCCCCACCCGCACCTCCACGAAGTCTGCTTGTCCCGTGTTCATGCCCAAATCACAAGCTCTCATGATCGAACCGTCCAGGCAATATTATCCTCTGATTCGGCCCCCGATGCAGATATTGACTCGTATGACGGGCCCTCAGTCTATGGTGATTATTGCCCTCTAGCATGAGCCATTATTCTGCATTTAGTCTGAATCGTCGCTCGGTCCATTTCTGCCCCCTTCCCTGCCAGACCGATGTCATGTCATTTCGTCAATGCTTGTTATGCTGCCCCGAAATGTTATTTACATAAGATCGGAAAGCCGAAATGGTTGGCATAAACAATGAAACCGAGGGGGAGATGAACCCTGCAAAAGTCATTTTCTCAGCGTCGATCGGCTAATGAAATGAAGCAGAGCAAGCCACAGGAGTCAGAGGAGCGTCCGTCCCAAAAAACGTTCCCGAAGTCGGCATGTTTAAATAGGCGAGACCTTTTTGTTCCCACATAGACCCCAGAGTTGTGAACTGAATGGAGCCGAGGGCCATGGATGTTTGGACATACCTCCAAGTGTTTCAGATTGGCCTTTTGAAACATTCTCATCATCAGATCAAATTGGACGGTACGATTGATTGTGGCCGTGAATGCTCGTCGTAGATACAGCTGAAATGACGTAAAAGTGCACACAAGTGTTCATGATTATCAGGAAAAGCTGCTCGGGCTGTCTGAAAGGGCATGTGAGCGCTGCTTCTCATTAGTGTGCTGCAGCAGCAATTGTTTTTAGGAGAAATGCCATTACGGCAAAAAGGAACATTTCTGTCAAAGTGCATTCAGCACGATTCGATCACGTTTTCCAACGAATTTCAAATCTGCTGGATCCGCTGTGTAAATAAGTAAGGGATACTGAAAAATTAAGGGAAAACAAGTACGACTTGGCGTAAACGCGAAAGATTTATGTTGACAATTTGGCTAGATTTCTGAGCTCAGCACTTTTTTCCTAACCTGGGAGGCTTTCAATCAAAATGACAACCTATATCTCTGTTATGTACTGGTATCACTGCAGTAAAGAAACCCAGAAAACGCTCTGAATCCGTTTTACCCTTACTCAACTCAATGAGTCTTACCTAGATTCCATAAGATGATAAAATTTTGATGAGANCGCTTCCGTATAAATCTCTAAAAACTAATTACCTCATCCCCTCCAGTCATGACTGCTCTGGACCGTTACAAAAGGAATACCAAAAGTAATGCCGTATCAATTAGTAACAACGTGGGAAATTGAAACTTGCTGAAAACTGGTAAATATTTGAGTTTTAGAGTTTCGGGACACTTCATACCAAACAAACAACTGATATTACGGATTACTTCATGCCAACTTGTCAAGTGAACTTCAAAAAAAAAAAAAACTGGTTGATGTTGAATTTTCAGAGAGGCTCTTGAGAATGCTTTGTTTTCTTTAGGACCGTAGGTTGCTTCGGCAGAATACCCTTTTTCCGAGAAATTCGTGCCTTATCTCTTTTGTGGACTACCGTATACATACAACTTATTATTTTCCAATTCTGAAGTAAATATCATAAATCAAATGATCTAGTTACAAAAATTCAAGTACTTGCCAATAACTTACATGAGTTAGTCGTGGAGTGTGCGTTAAGAAGTCGACATCACTTTCCTTGAGTACAATCTCATTATTGGAGAGGTCCAATACCCGTAGATTCGGCAATCCTTTCAACGCATTCGAATTTAAATTTACTGAAATACTATGTAGTTGAGTAGAATCGATAAATTACATTTGCATTACAGTTCTACCGTGACACCGTATCCAACCACTGTAAAGGGCACCATAAAAATATTCGTTTATCTATTGTTGATTTGTTTATTTAACACACCCAAGAGTGTGCAATACAACAATATCTCTGTTTGGGATCAGTTAGTACATTCATAGGTCAGACTGAACCTGNATAGGTCAGACTGAACCTGGGCATCATTCAGTAACTTTTTGTATAAGCGGTAGTTGTGGTAAAGCTGGGGGTAGAATGCAAACCCAACCCTAAGGCTGTTCAATCCATCTGACCTTCCACCCATACTCCTAAGGTCGGCTGAGTGGCGCTCAAATTGCCTGGGAGTAATAAAATTGCTGACTCTTTCATAGCTCAATTCCCATAAGTCATTAAGTGCTAGGCAAACATTCGGAAAGTTTTTTGGTTCGAAAAAAGCGAAAAATAATTTAAATGGAATGTGAAAGAATGGGTCGATCACAGTTGACTGCCAAGTTTGTTTTCCCTAACCAGTAAGGTCTTCCACCAACTGCCGCATAAGCAATACATCCAAAGCATGCTGAGAGGGGTTCGAAAGTTTCCTGAGCTCCCATAATTAGTAAAAAGTATGTAGCTTTTAATTAATTAATTCATCAATCCCATCGAATTGACGATTCATCATAGCACTACCATGGATCGCCTTCACTAAGGAACCTCCCTGTTAAAATTCGACATTCCATCAGTTAAATGAAGATTCCTACAGCATCTGACCCTGATAGGATTCAGCCAGTAAAACTGAAGGGCCTAAAGAGTCTTTAACCACCGACAGAACACTGGCTAGGCTCTTCACGTGGTTTAGTCCCCCTGTGACTGCTTTTCTTAGTTACGCTACACATGCTTCAAATGGTCCGTTTCGGGTTAAGCTATTTTAACACTTTTGAGTATTGGTAGGCTAGTTATTGGAGTGGTAGTAGAGAAGCGGCCGTAATCCTTGCAATACCATGAGGCACCGCTCACTGCTCTTTCACTCGAGAGCACGCTCCGCCCACCGTAGGCTGATCGCCGCTCGACAAGGCACCCCGTTTTACCTTATTCACTGTTCCGCTGAACCAGTTTTTTTTCCTCGTCTTCCCTACCCCTCCTCCCACCACTTTGTAAGCCACAACTACTAATTAACGAGTTTCTGGTTCAAGTGCTGCCACGGTCCATTTCACCGCGTGTATAATTTGACTTGTACCCTTAACGACCCAAACCTGATCCGCTCTTCACAGATCAGCCTCCATATAATGCGAAATAGACGGGTAAACTGGCAGCAGGAAACTCTGAATTATTACTAGTTTATTTACATATAGTAAGGATCGCGTTACCCTTTTCACGCATACTCAAATATCACCACTATTCTCATGGTAGTCGACTGCACGGGAAGTGGGGAAATAGGAAGTGCCGATTAGCTGTGGACTGCCCAGATTTAAACCCACATGTTCTGGATATGTCCCCTCCTACGATAACGGCCGATCCACACCTCACATTTCCCCACTTCCCCTGTTTTCGAGCTGTCAGAACGTATTATGAATTTTTCGCTTGGGTACACCCTGTTGATTGCATGCTCCGCTCACCGTAGCCGATCTCTGCTCTTGCACGTACCTTTGGCTCAATCTGGACTAAACCTACCCCATCAACTTTTTTGTTCGCTCCCCAGTCGCCACGGAACAAAGTTGTGAAATGATATACTGGCCACTGCCTTTGTCGAGAAAGCTCCGCCTACAGTGGGTGTGTCTCCTTTTTCATCTCCAACCCTGCCAACCTACACCACGCTCATCTTTACCGCCTTTTTAGCTGCACCAAAAGAAACTGGACTTTCTACCTGGGCAGCGTCCGTTTCATTACTTCCAGCCGATCACCGTGGAGACTCAAGTAAGTGTAAGTAAATACTTGAGTAGCATGGCTCATGCCCCGTCCAACCCAACCGAGCCCAGCTACATTAGGTGGATCTCAGGATACCATAACAGTACAAAATATCCAGTCGATGGGAGAAGGGCTGGCAGGGGCAAACAGAACAAATAAAGCCGTTCAGACGATCGGAGGCATCGAACTTGTTCTTATAGGCAGTAACCCTTATAGGTTGAAGAGAATTTGAGATGAGAGGGAGGGGTGGAGGAAGAAGAGTAGGCGAGACGTTCTGACAGCACTGAACCGCGCTATCAAGCGTGGCCCTTGGCGTTATCTATGAAGTAAACAGCATAGGACGGCTTCTCTCGATTCTGCCCAGGACCTCAGAAGCTTCATCAGTAACAAAGCGTAAGAAAAGTCGATGATCAGGTTCACCAAGAAAATTCGATCACAAGACATGGCCCTTTACAGAACAGAGGACTTCATTAATGGGGCATAGATTTTCTAATGAACAATTGTCAACCAGCTAGGTTACCGCCATCTCCAGCCGTAACCAAATAATCAATTCAGATTTCAGTTAATAGTGAACATGCTTTCAATTAGTTTAAAAATAGAATACGCACTGAAAAGGCATCGGCGTGCCCTCAATGACAACCAAATTGCTGTTGATGTTGTATGTTTGTTGCCATTCGTTCATGGCATGTGACAACGTTCAGAAAGGCGCAATAGTTGGGAAAGCCTTTGGCCCATGTAGCTCTTGTGCCCATATCTGGAATCCCACCAAACTTCCTAATCTTCTGCTCCTTCAAGAACAGGGACCTAAGTGATCCACTCTAAATGCAGTCCAACTAAGTGGCAGTAGTAGGAAAAACAAAAAAAGTTTACATCCAAATTACGCAGATGCAAAGCTCTCAGTTTTTGAAGTTTCTCAGGAACCAAACGATAATGGCTTGCCGTTACTTACAAGTATTTTCTGGTACGTTGTACACAGACATTTGCACTTTCAACTTCACACAACTTCATTTACAACATTGAGCATGTAGTAATAGTATCATATACATCGATATAATTCGGTAGCTGAAATGCGTTATCGATTGGCTATTGAAAGATTCCCAGCTACAGCTAATCAATGTGGAACCCATTGCTCGATATATTGCTTCCTATACTCTCAGAGGTTATTCTATGTGAATGTAAAATTGCTAATTTAACAAATAAAGCTGACCAACTCGTTTGTGTTACTTGTTATAGTTATTATTACATTTTTGAATTTATGAGAATATTCTCAGCAAAAATGGGGATAAAAATAAACCTGAAGTCCCCCCCCCCCCCCC